AGCGGTTCTGGACTTCTGCTCAGAGAAATGCTTTCACTGTGGCATGGAAAGAAGACAACCTTTGCTTCAGTTTTACAGTCTCATCTCTGTATTGCTGCATTTTATTTTCTTTGTCTCTTTCCGTGTTTACATTAATCTGCTACCTCTTTCTGACTTTTTCCTCTCTGGCTACCCAAAATCTTACCTGGAAAGCCACCGCCACCCATGATGTTTCCCTGGTGGCTAGTCAGGAGTGGTGCAAAAGTGAGTTCTTTGGCAGGCATCTTCTGTTTTTGGCTATGTGCAATGCTGTGACAATTTGGCATGGGCAGAACAGTTCAGTACTCAGCAGATGCAAAAGCATTTATTTGCCCTGACTCAGATAGAGCTATGCTGATTTAAATCTGCTGAAAGCCTGCATTCACCATGCATTTTCCCCCCAGTTCTGTGCTAGTTCACCAGCTGAGGATGTAGCCAACTGTCTTGCATAGATGCGTAGTCTTTCTGTTAAGATAAATGTGATTATAATGCTACATCCCATCAGTGAACACTGCTGTGTATGCAAGGATTCAAAGTCATGTTAGTAGACTTCAAAGGATATACTGCATAATCAGGCAAGCTGCTTGTGAATTGAAGGTAAGATCAATCTTAAGTGGCCCAGTAAGCAAAATAAATAACAGTATATTGTGCTTACATTTGACTGTCCTCTGTGATTCCTGTTTATGGTGTCTCTTTTAAACTAAGTACTGAAACAAGCCTGTTCAATTAGTTAGAGGGATTTTTCAGAGTGCGTGAGAATGTACATAAAAATAATAGACCAAGTCTAGTCTTGCCAAGCTGTTCCTTCTGTTTAGCTTGCTAAATGTAAGCATGGTTTCTTTCCCTTCAGAAGTAAACCCCATGTCCAGTAACAGGAAAAAGAACTCACAGACTTCTATGGAGAATTGCCTAATTGTCTTGTTCTGGTTTCTTCAATAATTTTTTCCTTGGTACCAGTGTTGGGTTGGTTCCATAAGTTCCTTTCTTTGCTTCAGGTCTTGGATACAGTGGTAGTGTAAGGCTCCTCAGTTTCTGACTTTGTAGGTCAAAGCTTCCTGAGATACTACTTGTGAAAGCTTTCTGAGATACTATAGGAACTATAACAACTAGTTCTCTGTCACTATCTTATTAATTAATTCAAAGAACAGAATAGATAATATTTTTTGTAAATAGGTTTGACTCTATTGTGCTGTAATCTTTATATTCATCCCAAGTAATTTACAAGATTTAATGGTCAGTAAAACATTTGCAGATGTGGATTGATGAGAATGATCTTTGCATTAAGAACTATACAGAATGCCAAGATATGTGACAACTCTCTTAAACTTCTCTCTCCTTTCTTTTCTGTGTACCTATCCTTTTTCTGTGATGTCCCTTACCTACTTTCCTTGTAAAGACTTGGGTAAAGGGCAGCTGATGAAAGAAAAGTATATACTTTCAAAAAACAGAGTCTGTATCTGGACTCACTACTATGTTATGTGATCTAGAAATAGGCAGATCTGGAACCCTTAAGACCAGGTGTTGGCTTCATATGCAAGAGCTACTGTGGAGTAAATTCATCATTCAGCGTGAGTTGAACTTAGAGCTAATCATAATGGTGAAAAGCATCACTTCTAAAGAGTTCGTATTGCTTAGAAATTAGAACTCAGAGCCTCTCCCTCCTGACTAAATCCTCGTGGGATAAACAGTGTGCTGTTGCACCAGATTTGAAAAAAAAAAAGCCAAAAAGGTTATTGCTGCATCTGATTACAACTCGTTTTCTCCCTTCCCTAGATCTCATAGTTAATTTTAAATCATCAGGCTGTGAACATGAAAGGTTTCTATTTGAGTGCAGTGATATGTCCTGTAGCATACGTTTAACATATGTCGTGATATGTCCCCATGTATTAGGGACTGCAGATAAGTATGACATTCTAGCACAAGCAGTATTACTGCTTTGTGATGTTGTGATATTAGAATCCAGGATGTTGTGATACTAGAAGCCAGGATGCTGTGGGCTTTTTTCCCTCTAAGATCTTCATTCCACAGAATTATAGTCAGTATTCATAAATGCTGTGTATAGTGCTGTTTGATGTAGTATTGTGGTGGCTTTTATCAGAACGCTTAGTATTTAGTAACTATTGCTGTACCCATCAGCTTGTGACAGCTTAAATGTGAATTTGCAAAACTTTTTAGGTGCAAAGGCTATAATTTACAGAAGGTTTCTAATGTGTCTACTTTAAAAAATCCTAACTTGGATTCTAAATGCAGTTCACAAATGCTGCATCTATATTACTCAGCACTTGTTAGACCACATCTGAAATACTGCATCCAGTTTTGGACCCCTCAATACAAGAAAGGCACTGACAAACTGGAGTTCAGGAGAGGGCCACAAGGATGGCTGGAGGCCTGGACATATCTCCTGTGAGAAGAAGCTGAGGGAACTGGACTTGTTCAGCCTTGAAA